CTTGTATTTCCAAGAAATTGAATTTTTCATGAACATCGCCATATTTTAGGGTACCATACCCCCTTAAGAGGGCTGACCGTGAAATGCCGCGTGGTCTGGGCGCAAACTAACCAGCGACTTGGTAACCGGGCAAATTCTTTCCGGCAGTATTTTGCATTTTTGGCGGAAAATCGTGCTTGATTATGGGTTGCGCTCCTGTTCGGTAATCGTTTATGGATTGATATAAGGTATGTAGACTTACTTGATAGAACAATTTAAAAAGACGTAATTAGTAGTAATCAAAGATTAGAGCAGTGCCGGTTCACGCGCGTACTTTTCTTGTTTGCTCGATTTTTCTTGGTGATAGAATGACAGCTAGATAACGATCTGCACGTGAAGTTGAACTGGCGATCGATGAACAGCGCTTGCGACGTCGCCGGGAACTCTATTAAAATAAGGTTTTAACTTGTGCTGCACAAAATGTTTTCATTTTTTTAACTGTTTGCGAAACTCAAACTTCTAGGGTGCTTTGTGCGCGACGGTCGACGGAAAGAACACGTGATTTACATGTCAGATTCCATTTGTCTGAACGTGTGTGGTACATCTTGTGGATCATTGTGTACTAATAAAAGGCATCCGTTGGTCAACACTCAGTTGACAGTCAGTCAAAAGTCAACTAATTTTCGCAGACACGACATTGAATTTCGATCGATACGTATGAGTCGGTCGACACTCAACCAACTGTTGATCGAGAGTCGATCAAGTGTCCATCAAGATGCCGATCGAGTTCTGGTCTAGCGTCGACCGGTTATTGAGCGGGATATCGATACTCGGTCGTTATTGGTCATTTATTTTTCGACAAAGATTTGGCAATGCTGCGGCTGTCGGCTCCTGTATCATTTCAAGCATATTAATTTTTAGAAGCTCTATGTTTTGTCCTTATGCAGGCTCTTATGTAACTTTATTGTCATCTTCCACACCTTGCGATTTTTCATTTTAAGACTTCTTTTTTGCTGTGCTTTGTGCTTTGATCTGTTTGCAATTTTCTTTACAAGTCTGAGATCTGGTTTTTAATCAAGCTGTTGTGCCTGCCAATCATTTAGCCAGTGAGAGTACAGAAATGATATTATTTGTTGCTTGTATGTTATTATCATGACAAATTTGTGCAGCATTTGCTGTGTTGTATTTCAGAGGATCTATTTGGTGTGAAAAGCTGAGCTGTTTTATTTGATCATGTTCTAATCTTTAATCCTCAGGTTGACAAAATGATAGCTGTACAATTGAAAAGCTGTGGACAAAAGAATCTAGCTGACAGTGGAAAGCGTACTTGGGATGATGAAATCCGCAGGAGGCTGAACGAAGAATATGATGATTGGAAAGATCCAAAAAGAACGTACATGGTTCCACCTTCCTTTAAGGGCATGAGTAATGATGCAGATGTAGGGAGAAAAGCTGAGGAAAAGTTTTACAATCTTCTACATGAACAAGGACAGAATAACAATGAGTCCATGTTTGTTGTTCACTCTGTTGACTTCAGTGAGCATGTACCAGACAGTGGGAGGGAAAGGTCATGGGTCATGGGAGAGTCTGACTTTGTTGTGATCCATCGAAGGCATGGCCCAATCTTTTTCCAAGTGAAAGCAACAGACACAGGTAAAAATTACAAAGAAGCTGAAAAGCAGATTCGCAAGGACAAACTTTCTTTGGAAAATCTTTTAAAAAAGATGGAGAAGGGAAACATTTCTTCAAAAAAAGTAACAGAGGAATTTAAGAACTGTCCAGGATTTGTTGTGATGCCCAATTGTCCTCGGGGACAGCTGTCAGTTTGCACACGAGATAACGTCCTTTGTCAGGAGGATTGTTCTAGCTCGCAGGCGTTTTCCAGTTGGTGGAATAAGCATATTGGACGTGCACGACATCCACCACATGATCAGACAGTCTTTGAGCACTTGGTTATGAGGTAAGTAGGTTAAGTAGGTGTCTCGTGGCCAAGCGATGTAGCACGTACATCGTAAATTGTAGATACCTAAACTTCCATAGCAAATTAAACCTATAGAGCTGACTATCAAACTATATGAAGAATTTTGAAATGAAAATGAATAGTTTAATTTTCCATGACCTCTGTATATACATGTGAGGTCAACAATAATATAACAAATTGCTAGTCAGATTGCTCTGAACAACAAAGAAAACAAGTTGGAACTTTAGTATTATTTTATTTAATGGCTTTGGCAAAACCTGGATCCAAGCAGGGATAGAGTAGAAGTTAGGGGATTGGTAGGGGTGGTGGGGGTGGATGGTGTGCATGTTATCCTTTTTAGACCGCTCCCCGCCAAAAACATGATTTATGTATTTTCTTTTAAAAAATGTGTGCATACCGAGAAAATCCAAGTGACTTGTGGGATATTCCATGATATACCACTCAAAAACGTTGCATAACTAGATGTACATATATATATTTTGTTTTTGTACTTGTATGTGTATAGAGATTGTTTTAATACCTTGTTCTCAAAATGATGTTGTGCAATTATTTTTGTAGGTTTGTAGGTTGGGCTCACACTGGCCCTTGTCTCAGCTATTCCATTGATAAAAGCCATGGCATGCTTGTGTTCAAAACTAGAGAACAGTTGAAGGTATTGCTAAATTCAACAGCAGAACAATGGATAACCGGTCCTGCTGGTAGCGGGAAGACGTGGCTACTTATGGAGAAAGTCGAGAGGCTAGCAGAAAAAGCCCTTATCCGTGAAACAGGAGAGAAGATACTTGTTGTGTGTTACAACAAACCCCTTTCGAAGATGTTTTCAACAACATTCAAACAACACTTGAATGACTTGTTGCAAAATTGCAGTGAAGATTTGAGTTCAGTAGTCAAGGTGGTGACTTTTGATGAGCTCCTCTATGAGATAACTAAGATGAAGTCTGGTGAATCTGATCAGGAAAAAAGGGAACATGTTGCCAGAGCTGTGAAACTGTTGGAGAAAAGAACTGATTCCATTCAACAGTATGACCATATATTTGTTGATGAATGTCAGGATCTGTGTGGTGACACATGGCCAGTTCTTTTTGAGAAGTTACAGAAAGATGCTGATGACCTGTCTGACGACAGTGATGATGAAGCTGAATGCAAACACATCTGGTTCTTGT